GGATATTCCTCCATGATTCCAGTTTGAAGGGAGCGTATATGTTCCATACAAAGGGCATTTAAGTGTGCGAGACGTGAATTTAAATTGTATTTATTTACAGAGGTATATTATGTCCCACTTGACGCTTCTCTAGTAAGTTTCTGTAAATTAATGAATATTCCGAAGTGAAGTAAACTTCAACGGATTTCCCCTGCTCAGGGAGTAGGGAGCGATGCACACTGTGTAGGGAGCATGTTAATCGGAACACAGTTCATGCACGGAGCTCACTTCTAACGAGATGATGTGAATCAGGTGTGTTAACAAAGAGAAACGTGCAAATCATGCAGAGCAGGGGTACGCGAGGACTGAGAACCGCTGGTCTAGAACAATTCTTACAAATAATGTATCACATAGCTGGGCGCCGCGGACAGACGCCGCCGGTGTGCTACACTCATAGAAAATAATGTATTTGAATTTTAAAGACGTGATGTGACGCTGTGTTTCTCGTCCAGTGCGCGACCGCCTGAAGCGCTGTTTTTTTCACCTCCATGCCCAATCGTCTTTGTTTGGGCTTCCGAAAGTGGATGATGTCAGGAAACAGTGGTTGCAATTTACTTTTTAACTCTGTTCCTGAGCATTATAACCCCAATTTGCTATTGTGTGCTGCGCATTTTACTGAGGACAGCTTCCACATCACGAGTGAGTAGTGCCGGATTCGCCAAAAGCTTTTGTTGAAAGACGGAGCAAGAGGCGGGGCAGTACTGAAACACCGTCTAAGCTGTTCGCCAATCACAACGCACCGGGACAGCTAACCAATCACAACACATTTTGTTTTTCGGAAGGCGGAGCTTCATCAAACAAATTATGTGAAAAATAATGCATTTTTCAAACCACCAAGCATGAGTGCATGTTCTAGTACACCCCCAAAACAAAATCAAGACTTTGTAAAAGAGCATAATAGGACCCCTTTAAGGACGCATTCACACTATGTGATGTTTTATTAACAAAGTTCGGGTGGAGCACTGTATATAATTAGCACTATAGTAAAATATATATATAGCCAACTTGCCTTTGTCCCACAACAGTTTTCTGGCATCCCTCCTCCACCCCAACTCCTCACTCCAAACTATTCCTGTCCCAGCTTGGAGATATGGGGGGTTCTCGGGTTCAGTTTATATTCCAAGCTCAGAGCCCCTCCCCTTCGGACCACACGCCAAATATGCACACTCTTTGCTCTGATTATATGTAAGTGCGAACTTGTGAATAGTGCAATGAGTTTGTGTGGTTCTCTGGCACAGTTTACAATCAAAGCAAGATACCAAAGTGAACCGCTACTGATAATGCATCATTTGCATGTGATCTCTTCTCAGAGATGGTCACGTGGTAGATTTTGGAGGAAAAGGCTCCATGGAGATCCACTGTTTTGCTCAAACATCTTGTGGCAGCAAAAATGTGCAATAAATATTAATATGATAAAAGAGCGCTACATTTACATGCATTTGGAGGATGCTTTCTGCATTAGAAGTACAGTGTTTCCCATACATTGATTTATTTGTGGCGGCCCACCACAATATCAACATTGACTGCCACAAATAGATTTTCCAAAAGGCTTTGACTTCGTTGAATAAACATGAGCTCTGTACGTTTCAAAGTCAAAACGCGGCGTGGGTGTCTTTATATGACTGTATCTTTGAAGGGCACTCACTGTCTTTAGAAAAGTTTCGATGTCATTTTCATTTAATCTTTCCTATAATGCCTGATAAAGTAGCGTTTATGAGCAGAGCGCTACTTTGTTTACAACCGTTACCGGGGAAACTGCTATATCTGCTGCTCCTAAAGCGCCTCCTGCTGGCAGAGAATGAATTTGCAATTTCAATAATCCCATTTGCTGTTTTATATATAGCCTATATTTCCCCCGGGGGAAGTGCCGCCACACATTGAGTGCAAGTCTGTGGGAAAGTATGAGATTCCTCAATAACGTCTTAATATATTGCAACATAAATTTACATCCCTCGCAGAACCTGTTTTGTATACTTGTGTTTTAGGAACTTTTATGACATATTTTCAGCCCCCAAAAATTTCTTCCTCTGCCTGAACGGCATTTTATTTAAGAACATGTTGGATGTTCTGCGTTTAATGCATGCTGTTTTTCTAATTTCATGCATTTAGCAGATGCTTTTACATTGCATTTCATGCACTTTCCGCATTAGAAGAGTATTAGCCACTTCCTCAATAACTCCTCAATATATTACGACATAAATTAAGATTCATTAAAAATATTGCTTGCTTATTGTTTTGTATTTACTGCTACTATCACCATCATCAGGAGAATCTCATGAAGAAACGTCTGTTTGATATTTTACCCCTAAATCAAAAGAAAGAACTGTTTTTAGAAGGTGTTAAATCACAGTGGACGTCTTGCACATGCACGGTCCGCTCCTCACCCGCAGGCCGTGTAGGGCGTATTATCTCTCGGTCGCACCAGCGCTCCGCAACACCGGCTCTGTGATGGATCTGGTGTCAGTTCGTAATCTACTCACTCGGCGGCCGGAGACACAGAATTACTCGTGAGAGTGGCGCAGGAATCAATTAATGGAACCGTAGCATCGCCCAGATAAAAGCGGCTCATCCCAGACCTTCATTTACACATGCTTGAGCTCCGAACTGTGATGAAAATTCACAGATATTTCAGGACTACTGTATTAGCCTCCTCAAAATATTGCAACATAAATTTACACAAGACTTAGTATAGTTAACTAAAATTTAAATTAAAACGATGTTATTTGAAATAATTGTAACAGGGATTGTAGGTGGGGGGAGTGAATGTACAGCGCTCTCTTCCACCTTCAATACCCCGACTGAGGTGCCCTTGAGCAAGGCACCGAACCCCCAACTGCTCCCCGGGCGCCGTGGCATTAATGTTCACTGCTGTGTGTGTGCACTTAGATTGGGATAAATGAAGAGCACTAATTCAGAGTATGGGTCACCATACTTGCCCACATGTCACGTCACTCACTTCATTTTCAGTACTTTCATGTTTCTGGGTGAAGTCTGAGCCGTGTTTCTGGCGGGTTTGGCTGAGTTACGCAGGGTTAGATGGTGATTCGGGGAAATGCGTACTGTATGGAGCAGCACAGTCAGTGTGTGTGTGATTTCACCGTGATTCTGCAGTCCCATCAGTCTCGGCTCAGCGGCCTCATAATGAACCTCTTTCGTTCTCATTCACTTCGACTCGGTCACTTTCAGCGAGCCCAGCGTTTTGTTGGCGCTGTTGGGAATCTCAGGCCGTTAAAGGCCAACAGCTCGGGGACTTGGGAACTCGGGAACACGTCGAGTGTTCATTGTGATGAACTGATGTTGTGGTACCTTCCTTTTCTGCAGCCCTTGCATTAAAGCCGCGGCGGCGTGTTCCACCACAGAATTCAATTTCACACTCCAGTTGGGTTGTTGATTACGCTGCCAAATTCAGATTAATGTGCATTTAACGAACATGGATCAGCCAGTGGTGCCGGTTGGGAAAGGGGGTCTCGGGACTTTCTCCGGCCCATAAACAGCCTCGCCGGGATGATTGATTAAACGAGCCCACCGGCGTAATTACAGCCGGCGCTCTCATCATCAGGCGCTTAGATGTCGATCCGTGTCGTGTCATCTTTTTGTGTTCGGGGCGTGGTGCCAATAATTCAATCTACCGCCCACCGTGACCCCGCTGACCGGGAATCAGATCCTGTGACGTGGAGCCTGCTTTATTCCTCTAACAGATGCTCGTTTTTCTTTGTTTGCTGAAAAGATCCCAGCTCTGCTTTTACTCACTTCCATATGTGCGTATCGCACGCTCTACTAGTCAAACGTTTGAATAATTAAGCAATAATTAATATAATAAAAAGTAATAATTACGTTTTTCAATGTTTTTGAAAGAACTCTTGAAATATTATTACAATATGATTGTATTACATATAATTATTACAATTTCAAATAATCTGTTTTCTCTGTGAGTATGTGTTAAACTGTAATGTATTTCTGTGATGCGCAGCTGTATTTTCAGCATCATTCCTCCAGTCTTCAGTGTCACATGATCTTCAGAAATCAGTATAATATGCTGATCTGCTGCTCGAGAAACATTTCTGAAAGATATTAATTAAATTACTACTTTTATTCAGCATTGATGCATTAAATTGATCAAAAGTGACAGTAAAGACATTTATAATGTTACAATAGATTTATATTTCAAATAAATGCTGTTCTTATGAACTTTCTGTTCAGCTGTGAATCCTGAAAAATAAAATGTCACAGTTTCCACACAAATATGAATGTTTTCAATTAATGTGATCATGTGACACTGAAGACTGGAGGAATGATGCTGAAAATACAGCTGCACATCACAGAAATACATTACAGTTTAACAGAGATTCACATAGAACACAGCTGTTTTACATTATAATAATATTTCACAATTTTTTTTCACTTCAGTAAAACACAGCAGATCTTCAATGAATGATTCCGTGAATCCAGTGTCAGCGTGATTTGGTTTGTTGTCCTGCTGTAATGTGTGACGTTGAGCCTCAGTTTGAGGGCCGTTCCCTCAGCAGACAGCAGCTCTGAGGATCATCACGGCCTGTAATGAGCGTCTTCTGCTGCTGCTGCATTCACTCATGATGCTGTGTGTTTGGGTCTAACAGGGTGAGTATGAGCGAGTGGCCCGTGACGGGAGTCCGCCGGGGCCGGGGCCCGAGACGTACCCACGCGTTCCCCTCAAACTACCTCAGAGCCACGGCAAACCCGGTTACCCGGCCGGTTTCCACTACAAACCCTTGCCGCCGCAGCCCAGCCCTCCCTACACCCCGCAGGGAGCGCACTCGCAGCCCTCCTCGCCCTTCATCCCGGGCCCCGGGGCCTATCCGCCGCCCAGCTGGGGCTCGTCCTCCGAGCAGCCGCCCTGCAGGGTTTCGCACGAGCAGTTCCGCGCGGCGCTGCAGCTGGTGGTGAACCCCGGCGACCCGCGCGAGTATCTGGACAACTTCCTGAAGATCGGGGAGGGATCCACGGGCATCGTGTGCATCGCCACCGAGAAGCACAGCGGCAAACAGGTGGCTGTGAAGAAGATGGACCTGAGAAAACAGCAGCGGCGGGAACTTCTGTTCAACGAGGTGAGTGCGCCAATATCCTGGTCAACAAAATAGCGAAAAGTTGCGCAATATAGGCAAAAACTATGTGATTATATATCAATATGTCTATAAAATAATAATTATAGTAATTATAATTAAAATAATAATAATAATTATTATTATTATAATTAAAATACTAACCAAAATATGAAATTTTAGTATTGTAATATGTGACCCTGCAGCACAAAAGCAGTGTTGAGTCGCTGGGGGATATTTGTAGCAATAGCCAACAATACATTGTATGGGTCACAATTATACATTTCTCTTTTATGCCAAAAATCATTAGGATATTAAGTAAAGATCATGTTCCATGAAGATATTTAGTAAATGTCCTACCGTAAATATATCAAAACTTAATTTTTGATTAGTAATATGCATTGCTAAGAACTTCATCTGAACAACTTTAAAGATGATTTTCTCAATATTTAGATTTTTTTGCACCCTCAGATTCCAGATATTCAAATATTGTCCTATCCTAACAAACCATACATCAATGGAAAGATTATTTATTCAGCTTTCAGATGATGCATAAATCTCAATTTCACAAAACTGACCCTTACGACTGGTTTTGTGCTCCAGGGTCACACATTTCTCTGTAAAATTAAAAAGAAAGTGTTTTTAAGATATGTAATAAAACTTTAAAAAAAAATTTTTTTAAGGTACACAATAATCCCATTCACATCTATGTGATAAAATGAGTAGTCAGACTACATTACCTAATATGTGTAATCCAGATTATGTTACTAACTACAATTTTCGTCATGTAGGCCTAATTTGTAATCGAGATGTTTTAATCGTGTTCCTGTTCGCTGTTCATCTGCTTGCAGGTGGTCATCATGAGAGACTACCATCACGAGAACGTGGTCGACATGTACAACAGTTATCTGGTCAGTGATGAACTCTGGGTAGTGATGGAGTTCCTGGAGGGCGGAGCCTTGACTGACATCGTCACTCACACCAGGTTAGAGCCGGTCGTCCAATCAGAATCAGAGTCTGAATGAACTGATTTCACACTGATTCATTCATTCAGTGTGAATCATCTGATCTTTCGATTCAAGTCCATCAAGATCCAAATGAAAAGAGAAAATGATTAAGTGGAGATTATATAACACTAGGCCTCATTACTGAGTTTGTGTCAGAAATAACTAGATCACGAGATGTTTTAATAGAGAACATGTTTAACACGTTTCACAATCAGCTCTGATCTAATATGAAATGGAGAGTAACATTACACTTCTGCAGCTGATTTACAGAGCGGTGTTATCTGCTGGAGACAATAGTCCAGTGATGAATTATTATTGTGAAAGTTTGTGGTGGAGTTTGTTTTAGACGCTGCCTCTGCTCTCGAAGCGTCTGCATAATTACACTAATTAGTTGTTCTTCAGTTCGGTGTGGCGTGGTGTTGGACTGTAATTGCACGCTTTCAGAGACACGCGTGACCTGATCGGCACGACACGCTTCCATCCCACCGCTGAGAGGAAGAGCGGCTTCTGTTTCTGATGCGCTTTATTTCGGGCCTGTTTGAGACGCTAATAGAGACGCTAATGTCTACATAGACAGATCCCTTCGTAGGCAGCATCTTGAGCGACACACGGGTCTGAATCAGCGGCTCAGATCAGCACACAGATCATGTGATGCTCACAGTCGATTCCATCGAATTTCATTATTTTTATTTCATTTTATCTTTTGAGCATTGAATGAATTCATATTTAATGTTTACACATTTAATGTTTTAATGTTTAAATCTGTTTTGCAATTTTTTTAACATACAAGAAGAAATAACAGATTTTTCTACATTCATCTATCAAGCCAATGTACAATCAGATGCAATTACAGTAGAAAAAAATAAAAGAGAGAAAGGTGCTAATCAGAAAAGGGTCAGGAGGTCAAACAAGGTTCATATCCTAGATGTTTTGATAGCATTCTTATTAATAAATGTTGCAGCGGCGGTGACAAGACATAAACACAAAGTCAGTTGGAGTCTGATGGAGTCTGATGGAGTCAGGTTGAATCTGTTGGAGTCAGATGGAGTCTGATGGAGTCAGAGTGAAGTCTGATGGAGTCAGGTTGAATCTGTTGGAGTCTGATGGATTTGAATGGAGTCAGGTTGCGTCAGATGGAGTCAGGTTGAATCTGATGGAGTCAGGTTGCGTCAGATGGAGTCTGATGGAGTCAGGTTGAATCTGTTGGAGTCTGATGGATTCGAATGGAGTCAGGTTGCGTCAGATGGAGTCTGATGGAGTCAGAGTGAAGTCTGATGGAGTCAGGTTGAATCTGTTGGAGTCTGATGGATTCGAATGGAGTCAGGTTGCGTCAGATGGAGTCTGATGGAGTCAGGTTGAATCTGTTGGAGTCTGATGGATTCGAATGGAGTCAGGTTGCGTCAGATGGAGTCTGATGGAGTCAGGTTGAATCTGTTGGAGTCTGATGGATTCGAATGGAGTCAGGTTGCGTCAGATGGAGTCTGATGGAGTCAGGTTGAATCTGTTGGAGTCTGATGGATTCGAATGGAGTCAGGTTGCGTCAGATGGAGTCTGATGGAGTCAGGTTGAATCTGTTGGAGTCTGATGGATTCGAATGGAGTCAGGTTGCGTCAGATGGAGTCTGATGGAGTCAGGTTGAATCTGTTGGAGTCTGATGGATTCGAATGGAGTCAGGTTGCGTCAGATGGAGTCTGATGGAGTCAGGTTGAATCTGTTGGAGTCTGATGGATTCGAATGGAGTCAGGTTGCGTCAGATGGAGTCTGATGGAGTCAGGTTGAATCTGTTGGAGTCTGATGGATTCGAATGGAGTCAGGTTGCGTCAGATTCATTTTGAGAGTCGGTTTGAGATGGATGGAGTCAGATTGATTCGGATGGAGTCAGTTTGAGTTGGATGGAGTCAGTTGATCAGTTGAAGAGTCATTTTGAGTCAGATGGAGTCATTTTGAGTCAGATGGAGTCATTTTGAGTCAGATGGAGTCGGTTTGAGATGGATGGAGTCAGATTGATTCGGATGGAGTCAGTTGGAGTCGGTTAGAGTCAAATGGAGCCAGGTGAAGTCAGATGGAGCCTGGTGGAGTCAGATGGAGCCTGGTGGAGTCAGATGGAGCCTGGTGGAGTCAGATGGAGTCAGGTGAAGTCGGATGGAGTCAGGTGAAGTCGGATGGAGTCAGGTGAAGTCGGATGGAGCCAGTTGAAGTCTGATGGAGTCAGTTGGAGTCAGATGAAGTTGGTTAGAGTCAGATAGAGTCATTTTGAGTCTGATGGAGTCGGTTTGAGATGGATGGAGTCAGATTGATTCGGATGGAGTCAGTTGGAGTCGGTTAGAGTCAAATGGAGCCAGGTGAAGTCAGATGGAACCTGGTGGAGTCTGATGGAGTCAGTTTGAGTTGGATGGAGTCAGGTGAAGTCTGATGGCGTCAGATGGAGTCAGATGGAGTCAGTTGGAGTCAGATGGAGTCATTTTGAGTCTGATGGAGTCGGTTTGAGATGGATGGAGTCAGATTGATTCGGATGGAGTCAGTTTGAGTTGGATGGAGTCAGGTGAAGTCGGATGGAGTCAGTTGAAGTCAGATGGAGTCATTTTGAGTCAGATGGAGTCATTTTGAGTCTGATGGAGTCGGTTTGAGATGGATGGAGTCAGATTGATTCGGATGGAGTCAGTTTGAGTTGGATGGAGTCAGTTGAAGTCAGATGGAGTCATTTTGAGTCAGATGGAGTCATTTTGAGTCTGATGGAGTCGGTTTGAGATGGATGGAGTCAGATTGATTCGGATGGAGTCAGTTGGAGTCGGTTAGAGTCAAATGGAGCCAGGTGAAGTCAGATGGAGCCTGGTGGAGTCAGATGGAGCCTGGTGGAGTCAGATGGAGCCTGGTGGAGTCAGATGGAGCCTGGTGGAGTCAGATGGAGCCTGGTGGAGTCAGATGGAGCCTGGTGGAGTCAGATGGAGCCTGGTGGAGTCAGATGGAG